GTGGAAGACAGGAGGGCCTGGCGTGCTCTGGTCCATGGGGTCACAAGTGTTGGACACGACTTAATAACTAAACAACAACAAAGTAAAATCATGTGGGTTGTGACAGGCAATGAACAAAGTACCCATTATGTGCCCCACACCTTGTTAAACTGGCCATTCAGCGCTGCAACTCACCCATTCACTCACTGTGGAGTAAAATTCTACTTTATGTTCATTATTACTTACAGAAGGGGAGAATGAACAGTTGAGTCAGAATACAAGAGGCACAAGGTTCGTGATACGTTTGCACTAAGCTCAATAGTAACTATTTACAATAGTTCAATGACAATGAGCATATTGTGAAAGGTCTATATTCGTGGTTCCCACGTGTTCTTGGACCAAAACTTTCAGAAGCCTTTGCTACTTGCTGTGCTGGCCAGGATTTCTGGGAGTTGTAGTCCAAGAACATCTGGGGGACCTAAGGTTGGGAACCACTGAGAAGAGACACCTGTAGAAAGGAGTGCAGTCCAATCGATCTGTTAAAGAGTTCACGCAGATTTCACACAAACACTTATGATTGCCCTAACCTAATTTTACTTGCCCCCTCCTACCTCACTACTCATCAGTGCTATTCCTTCTATAATCACCTCCAAGCTTTAACTTTTTTCTGCACAATTGGCTGTGGGATTTTGGGAGCAGCAGCAGAAACAGTACCTTCTCTAAGCTTCTGAATCATTCTAAGGTGCCCTTATTTCCAGCTTCATTGCCAGCTCACACTACAGCAACCATCTCCACTTCTTTGACAACCTCTGAGCAAACCATTCATCTTTCCAATTTCATTCCTTGCAGCCAAAGCCTTCCACCTTGGGCTTCCTACTTCTGCTCTGTTGGCCCTAATACATCACCCTCCTGCAATCACGTTGAGAGGGGCTGAACACGATGATCCTGAGAGTCCCTTCCAGCTCTGCAGTTGTGAAATTGTCATTATCCTGTAACTCCCAGGTAGGAATAGGGATCCTTCAGTCTCGAGAGACTATGGTAACATGCTTTGTATGGAGGACTTGGAACAGCGTCTAGTGTGGCTGAGAAGGCCAATTCGAGAGTCACAATCCCTTCCACACTGAGGACAAATACAGTCTGTCCCCTGTCCAGCTCCCTGATTTTGCTGCTTTTGTGACTTCCTCTTTGCCTTGGCCTGCTGGACAAGGGTCTCTTCAAATTGGGAGAGGCTGTGATGCACCACCTGCCTCCAGGCTGAACGCTCAGAGGTCAAGGTTTCCCATCTGTTAAGGTCTATTCCTAAGGTCTTCAGATCCCACTTGCAGATCTCCTTGTATCGCAGCTGTGATCTCCCTGTAGGGAGATTTCCCTGCACTCATTCTCCATACAGGAGACCTTTTGGAATCCAACCATCAGCTATTCTCAAAACATGCCCGAGCCAATGTAGACGTTGCATGTATACATGCTAAAAATTCCAGCTCGTTCTAGTACTACTCTATTTGGAACCTTGTCCTGCCAGGTGATACCAAAAATGCGTCAGAGACAATGCATATGGATCGTGTTCAGCTACCTCTCCTGCCATGCACAAAGGGTCCAGGACTCACTGCAGTACAGGAGTGTACTCGGGACACAGGCTGTACCGACCTCCCAGGTAGTGTGGAAGCCTAAATAAGACAACAGGCGCTTTGCTTTTCCAAAAGGCATATTTTATTGTCAAAGGTTTTTTTCCCAAATAGTCAACTGCACAGAGAAGGAACAGTTCACACTGTTGAAATAGCTCCCTGTCACACTGAGGCAGCTTCCTCCAATAAATGCCAGCAAACAACCCTTCACACCCTTCAGATTCTTCTGCATCTACTGTGACAGTGACAAAGGACACGGGAAGAGTTCTACAGTCTGCAGTTCAGGGTCAAAGCTTGCTTCTCAAAGGACTAGGGAAGGGCAGCCAGGGTTTGGGGGGTGGGGAGAGAATAAGATAATCCCACTAAAGTCTGAAACCTTTGCTTCAAAACCAGCAGCTTCACTGATATGTGCTTGAAATTCCCACTGAGCCTCTAAGGCACAGAAATGTTTAGAGAACCAAAAAAGGCACATCCGCCTTGGGGGAACTAAAGGCCAGGAGAGCAGAAGGCTCTTGGCCTTTTCAAAAACACAGCTGTTCCAAAGAACCACCAGTACTGGGTGGAAACTGGTGGACAGCAGATGGGTTATCACCAGGGAAAAATGTAAGGACGTGGGGGGGAGGGAAGAACCACAGGGAGCGGATTTCATAACTGTCTCAAGCATATCAAAATATTTAAAAGGAGGGTCCTGGAAGAAAAGGCAACATGAATAAGGAAAGAAAAAAAAACAAAAAGAAGATATCTTCAGAGGTGAGGATCCTGTATTCTGGCAAGTATTCCCTAAGCTGATTAACTGGGCAGTTGTTTAAAGATGCTTCTAAGGAACAGAGGCTCAGACCTAAGGGGAGAGAAGCAAGTTCCACACACTCAGGAGAGAGCAAGAAAGAGAGCACGCAAGAACAAGCGCAAGCAAGTGTGGGACAGTCACACACCACTGAAATGAACACAAGACTGAGCATGTCTGCATGCGGTTACTATGGTAGGATGCAGAATTTCAGTGCTTCAACCCCTTCCCTCCCCATGCCCAAAATTCTTCACGTTTGAGATATAAAAAGATTATAAAGAAGTTAAGCAGGTGGTGATGTAAGGCCTGTGTTTACACTTCAGCTTCCGCATCCAGAAGGTAGACTGCCCCTAAAGAAAGATGCTCAAAGCCGGTATGTTGTGAAGTCCGCTGCATTCAGCCCCCCGCCCTGCCCCGCCCCCTGCCAAAAGAAAAATAGAGATTCTGAGATTTATTTAAAGCTAGAGAATCTGTGTAGCAAGCTAGACAGTTGCTAAATAGAAGTTCGTTTCAAGATACCCCAAAGAAAGCGGGGAGGAGAATCATTTTTAACTCGCCCAAATGCACCCTTAGTTATATATCTTAGCAGAGGCTGGAAATTTCCAAAGCTTTTCTTGGCTGCTCCCAACTGCAAAGGAAGCAGCCAGGAGCTGATATGTAGCTGAAAGCTATCTATCTACACTGAACAGGAGACAAAGCCAAGTCAGAGCTCAAGGCTCCCTGTACAGCTAGCCTATCCTGCAACTATTCTTTCCATATTACATAAAGAAATAAAAGTTAGCCTGCACATTGAGGCATTTGTGTGGGGTTAGGGAAGAAGAGGAGAGTGCGAGCCTTTGGTGCCAAGGGTGCAATCTGGGCCAAAAACTCACAGGATCTCCATTGCTGACATTCTTTCCAACAAAGAAGAACAGCAATGTATTCCATCTTAGAAACCTTTAGTGTAAAATATATTTAGGTGTAGAAAAAACCTGTGTATTCGTTGTATTGGACCTGAAGAATCCAGCAGCAAAATAATGTCTACATATGATGTATGGATCTCAATCTTCAGAGTGGGACCTGGGTCCCTCTTTTGCTTTTGTCTTGCATGTTGGGAAGAGCAAGGGGAGGGAGTCTCTGGCGGTCAGGCACTGCTACACGGGAGACTTAGAAAGGTGCGCTGTCCTGGGGGGGCTTGTCACCAGTTGCTGATGGGGAGTGGAGCTCATCGGTGCCGTTGTCTCTGCTGCCCACCACTTTGGACTGGAGAAAGGAGGAGAGGAAAGAGAGTGAACAAGACAGAATACAGATGTTGGTCATTCTGCAAGACAATTAGTTATAGGCACAAATCACTTCGTGCTGGTGCTGCCCACCACTTTGGACTGGAGAAAGAAGAAGGAGAGGAAAGAGAGTGAACGAGACAGAATACAGATGTCGGTCATTCTGCAAGACAATTAGTGATAGGCACAAATCACTTCGTGCCAGGTCGTCCAGAGTCACTGGCACAGCACTCCAGATGCCACACATTCCTTTTCAGCTCTCCTGCTCACAAGCCTGCGCGCACTGCTCATTCCGTCCTTGTTGCATAGGTTTCCAGTCCTAGCAGGAGCATAGACTTCCTTTCTCCTCCTTCTCCAGCAGCTGCCCACTCAGATGAGGAGGCAGGGCAGGGATTCTTGCAGCACTGCCTTTGAGCGGCCAGCTGCTAAAGGAGGTGGAGAAGATACGTCCGTGCTCCTGCTGGGACTGGGAGATTGTGTGATGAGGAGAAAACAAGCAGTGCACACCGGCTTACAAGTGGGACAGCCAGTCGGGGGGGGGGAGGAAAATGCACGGCACACCAACAATTTAGGACAACTTAGCATAACGTGATTCATGCCCCTCTCTAGACACAAGCAAATTTTGACCAATCTCCTTTTCCCAACCTCACTTCTCCCCAACACCCTAAATCCCTGTCCATTTACAAAAGGAACTGGAAAATGGCCACACTCACTAGAGAGTTGCAGTCCCACCGCCACCAAAATAACATTTCCAATCTTGGACATACTCAATCCATCATGATAGCAGACATCTTCCTTGTTCTACCCCTTGGCTTCACATCCACTTGCAGGATAGACAGTTACCTTTATGGACCCAACTCGGTCTTCAAAGGACTTGAAGGTTGCTGAATTTCTTAAAGAAAAAAATTAAGTCAAGTCAGACTATGAATTGATATCAAAGCCTCTGAGGAGCTTTCAGGGAAATAAAAATACTACTGCAATAAAGGTCCTTATTAGAAGACTATCTAATCAAGAGCTTTATTTTAAGATGCTAATAGGAAGAGGTTGAGGGTCAGCATAGGTAATTTCTGCAAATGTCACCTGGACAGAAGCCATCATAAATTGTAAGGAGACACAGCAATACACAAAAAGCCATTCAGTGACACCATGTTAAAAAGGTCTGTTGCTTCCTCACCCCTTCATCTATTGCCACTGACCACTGAATTTACAACTCACCCACACTGTCAGTGGAGGGGTCTTGTTATCGGAATGAGGTGAGCCATGGCTAATAAGCTTAGGAAAGTGTCATAGCAGGACATTTAATTCTTAAGAAAAATCTGTGATCCTAATTTCACAAAACTGGAAAAGTAGCACACAGCCAACACTGCAGAGCAGAAACTGGCTATAAACACAGGGACTTGAAAGAACAGCTCTGCCAGCTTCATCATTACCAATACACCCAAAGGGGAGGTGGTAATCAGTGCTGAACAAATTGTGTCCAAGCCTCACTGATTAAGCTACCCATGACACTCAACTGCTTGTGGCTGATGTATTTGGTGGGTCAGTGGACTTTATATCTTTTACACAAATCTCAAATGCAAGATTGAGCCAGAGTGGGAGGGGTGGAATTTCCACACTGTCCTTCAGAGTACTTTCTTGAGCTAAGGCACATAAACGTGTCACATGACAAGGCAGGGAATATTTTTCTCTCCTGGGCAACTGACTTTGGGGGAAATGCCAACTGGAGGCTTCAGGTAATGGCTGTTAGAGCCACAGGCGGGCAGAGCCTGCTGCATTGCTATGCCACCTCTCCTGGAATTACACCGAGAAAGGCATGGAAGCCCAGTTCACCCACCCAAGAATTAAGGGGCATGCAGGCTTCCTCTAATCAAAAGCCGCCCACATAAGACATAAGAAAGACAACTCTTTTCTGTAACACCCAAATATCAAGGTTCTCTATTAATATATATTTTGCTCTGCAAACCCTGATGAAGGGCGAGATGTAAATTCTATGCTTGATTAATTATAATAGCGAACTTCACCTCAAATCCTCAAGTGAACGTAATTGCTCCACCTCACCCATCCTCCCCACCATTTATTTTTTGCCAAGTATCATGGCATCCTTTGCAAACACTGGTACCACAGAGGAGATGGGACATTTGCTACATTACCTCATAGCTGGCATACTTATCGAGTGGCGAATGGAGTAGCTGCTACTCGGAAGCATTAAGAAGGGGGAAAGGAGGAAACATTAAAAGGCAGTTAAAACCCTTCAAGCAACCACACCCTGCTCATCCCTGTTACCTCCATTCAGATTAATGGAGAGGTTCCTTCAGTATGAATGAAAGGGGGTGTGAACGTTATGTAGCCACCTCTGCAACTACACATTCAATTACTGTATTTACTGTAAATAATCTTAAAATTACAAAGAAGCTTTTATTTTGATAATCTTTCCTTGTCCAGCACACCGGGCCATGTAGATAGAAACATTTATGCTAGCAGGTTTCTTAGAATTTCCGTACAGTTTCATGCTTAGAGAATTGGAAATAACACGCTAGAAGAAGCATCGCGTCTTCCATTTATTCCCATACATACACACAGCCACAACAGGCCAATGCTCCAGGGTATTCACGATCTGAACTCTGTTACTGAGACATGAAATTGACTGCACAGATGTGCTGGAGAAGGGAACGGGTTGAAAAGAATATATTATAGACAGACTCCAAATGTGGCATCTCCTTGCAACGAGGGAGAAAGCTGGATGTCATATGAAGACAAAAGCGTAGCGTGGAACTGGAGGCGACGGCCTTTTCTTTGCCTCTGAGCCAACCCTCCCAACCAAACACGATTTAATTTAAGGGAAAGCCTTTTAATAATGTACTCTGGCTAAGAGACTCTGGAGAGACGCGTCTGGCCCATGACCAAGACTTGGAAGTATGTCATGTGAAGTGAAAAGGGCAAGCAACGCACAGTTTTGCCCACACTGCAAAGCAGGAAGAAGAGCACAGCCTTGGAATGGCTTTGCCGCACCATGCCCCTTAATCCCCAACTAGCATCCATCACCCAGTTGGAGGAAACTAGAGCAGAAAGAAATGGAAGTTCCCATCGTGCAGGTACCAATCAACTCACAGATAGGGCAACTTTGGGCAGGGCTTTATTTATATCAGGGGTGGGCATTCAGGGCCTCCAAGATTTAAAAATGCCCCCCCCAAAAAAAACCAGAGCCCTATTTCTGTTCCTGGAAGCCCAAGGTTTCTTTGTCCAGCACTGCCTGATAGGTGCTCTCAGATGCCTGTTTCCTCATCATTCTTTAGAACCAGGGGCAGGAAAGATCCAAGTGAATGAGGTTAAAATTGTTGCAGCACGGCTCACAGCTGAAGGCTTCAAGCGTGTTCTTTGTGTTTCACATAATGCACCCCAGAGGGCGGTATTCCTTGCCTGAACCTCTAGACGTTTGTGAGCATGGATGCATGGAAGAATATGCAGCTCCAGCTTCCTAAGAAGCTCTGTTCTGGAGGGGAGGAGTATGCCTTGAATAACACTACCCAACACTTGATAGGAACTTTCCCTTGGAAAGGCTGCAGAGAGGATCTAGAAATCACATTAACATTCAAGGACTGGAAAAGGCTCCCTTTTTAGTGGGGGAGAAGAGTTGGCAACCCATGAAGGCCCAAGGTTAATTTTCCATCCACTGCACCTACTAAGTCAACATCAGTACCACACATGAACAAAGGTTAGGAAAAATGTAACTGAACGTCGCTGGAAATCCACTTCCGTTTTCACTTTTGTGGATTGTGGGGTTCCTGGAGTGGATAATGACTTTGTTTTGTGTTTTGTTTTTTGAGATGATGATGCAAGCTGGAGGGGGCATCCAGAGGTGCAGAAATAGCTTGTGGACCTCGGGCAATGCTCTGTCCATTTTTCTTTCAGAATGGGTGCGCCCTCGAAGGTGGAGGGGCAAATGGTTCGTACTTTCCAACTCACCGCAATTCCCTGGCTTACCCCCATGTGCAAGTGTGCACCATGACAGCACTGGTACCACATTTGACCTTGCAGACAGCCACCCTTGCTTCATGAATCTCAAGACCCTATGCCACAGTCAATAAGGACTGAGGATTAGCCCTTCCTCCTTCCCACCCTCTCTTTTTGCAACATTTTGCCTGATCTTGACCGTATGTCTTTTTGGGTAAGCTCAATAAAGGCACGGCCACAGAACGGACTGTGGAACTTGTTTAACCAGATCCTCCATGGATATTGTTCCTCCGCAGAATCTTACCTAAAGGAATGCGAAAAGGGATGGGCCCTGGTAGAATCCAATGGCAGCAGGAGAAAAAGCAGAAGGCAGCAGGGAAGAGCCAGTTAGGTGCACATTTAAAACCCACCAGGTGTACAGGCACAAATGTACATTTAACACACACACAGAGACACACCCCAAGCCCCCAAAACAGCCTAGATAAAGAACAGTAAAGTAAGGTCTAAAATTTGTTCAATGATGTCAGGAAAAGTTGTACCACGCAATTTTTCCTGTGGCAAAGCCAGACAACTGGTCCTTCCCTCACCAATAATTCTACAAACCTGGATAGGCACCAATGCTAGAATAGCATGCTGCCATTTACCTGTTTTTTAGCCAGTCCGAAGAATAGCTGACAGGTTCAACAGGTTACCTTTATCCTGCTATGTTTACTACGGAGTGCAGGACAATTTTATCTGTCCCACAAATTACATGGTATGGGGGTTCCACCTATTCAGAGTACTAAAAAGGAGAAACATGTGGATACACACAGAAAAAATGAGGATGAAATCTAGGAGTGAAGACCCACTGAAGTCCATGGTAGTAGCCTGGCCTTTTCCCTCAGCTATTACCCATACAGCTGGAGTTCCGTTTGAGGAAAGAAATGTCAGAAGCTCTGTAAATCCTCGCTTATAGTTCACTGAAGATGGAAATTTCACCTCCCCAAGCAAGAAGAAGCTCCAGCCTGACTGTCAGGACAGAATCTGTCAAAAAATATTTGGGAAACATTGGCAAGACACAGGGCCCCTACGCCATGCACCTTTAGGACAACCAAATAAAAACACTGGGATCTTTATCTGCTCCTTTTTAAACAAGCATTTGTCCAAAAGGGCTACTGGAACAATATCCTCAAAGCTGCTCTCCTTCTGGTTCTTGATGCTCGATAAGGATTGTAACATCTGCATTTCCTCTGCCTGCTCCAACCAGAGAGAATCAGAGCAGACTCATTGCATCAGGGCTGCAGAACTGAAATATTATAACTCTGCTGCAGATAAACGTTTATAAAATTTCCCATGTAAAAATCAGGGCAACATAAGGGCCTGGAATCATCTCACAAGAACATCGGGCCACTGATTATAGAGGGAATCTGCTCTTCATTTTTCTCAGTGATAGTTGGCTCCCAACCACGCAAATGGCCCTTAAACCCACATACTAAGAAAAGAGAGAAACCACACATATCCTCAGTCTAGTGGATACATGCATCAAATCCTAAGGAAGTTCGTTACATTTTGGTCCAGTCATAATCAGCAGAATGAGAGCCTGCCTCATGTTCACTGTGCTGGATCTGATCAGGTTACAGTTTGATAACACAGAAAATATCTATATAATGTGTTGAGGTAATGGGCTTATCCAGCTGATGACGACACATATAACCAGGTGAGATCTGACTGAGAACAGACATCTTCCTCCTCTCATAATTTTCTTCAATAGCCTTCCCTCCCCCCCTTTTTTTGAAACAGTCAAGCTGGAAAGCCCTTTTCAAGATCACTCTTCACACACACCAGGAACACATGTTGCTTCTTTTAAAAACACAGTGTGAAGGGAGGCAGCAGAAACCCAAAAAGGCCACGTGACTAAGATGAGCCACAAAGCCAAAGAAGGAGGCTCCCTCCCACTTAAAAAGAGTTTCATCACAAACACCAACCTCTGATCACATATCTGAAGCACGGTGGGAGGCATCGGACTTAAGGATAAGGAACAGAACAGGGGTGGGCAACGTGCAGCCACCCCAACACCTCAGGGCAATTCCTCCTCTCTCCTCAAATATTATGCTTTTTGGAAAACAAATTTAGCTCAAAAAGTCAACTTGTGCCGTCTGGGTATTTGGGAGAAATTATGGCATGTTCTGAAAGGCCTCCAACACTCCTGAGTCTCCCACAGTCTTTCCAATTGTTTATTTTTTTAAAAAAAAGACCACTGGAGAGCAGAAGAGGGCATTTCAATTAAAAACCTCGTTTGTGGGGAGGGGGGGAAACGCATAGGGTCATGGGTGATGTTCCCTCTAAGCTCCACGCACATGCGCCTGCCCAGAGCTCTGCTGGGGTTGCGCACATGGGCAGCTGGCTTGTTTACTTCCCTTTTCGAATGCAGCCCCACGCACATGGAATGAGGTTCCCACTCAGAAGGGCAGAAACTTAGAGGGAACGTTGGTCATGGGGGGGGGCAGGCCTCCCAAGTTCCAGAGACACATGTGTGCCGTCCCTAGACTGCTGGGAGACGACTCACACCGAGACTGAAATCCAACGCTTTGTGGAAAAATAGGAGGCGGCAAGATGCAGAACACAAAGCCGCCGTAGGGACTGACAGTTCTTTCTCCCTACTTCATCAACGGCGCAACAGCACAGATGATCTTGGCTTCCTGCAGGCTTTGGAAATTCAAGACAATCAAGCCATTCATGGAGACTGGGGCCAGAGGAAAAGGAGGCATCCTGCTGCTTCTGGTAGCAAGGCGGTTAAATATCCTCTGTGCCTTCTGTTCTCTGTCCTATGACTGTTGTTATGAACCATCACGTCACTTCTGGTTAAACTGCTGTACTGCAGTGAAAACTCTGCTCAAGACTTGGTTTGATCCCAGTGGATTCAGGTAACTGGTTCAAGACTCACTCAGTCTTCTGTCCTTCCAAAATCAGTAAAATGAGTATGCAGCTCACTGGGGGACAAAATATGCATAATTAAACTGTAAACTACCCGGAGAGTGTTTTAAGCACTATGGGGAGGTACATAAGCAACACACTTTGCTTTGTGCAGACCCTATAAACTGATGGCATTCCACTTTATTTTACTTCATTATTTTCTTTCCTAGCAAGTCTTTCTTTTCGTAATATACCCGCAATATAACAGCAGCAATTTGATCATTTTTGTTTCTAATGGAAGTTCAGACTTGATTTGATATAGAAACTAATTGTTTGTCTTTCCGGTGGTCTCACTCAACATCACATTTCAAAGGAAACAGATTGTTTCCCTCTCTATTTTCTTCATTTTCCAGATTTACTAATTGTTTGTCTTTCCGGTGGTCTCACCCAACATCACATTTCAAAGGAAACAGACCTATACACAATAAGCGAAAATCCTTCAGCATGCATAATCTTGGCCTTGGTTACCAGTGACACATACTTATACCATTTACTACTACTTTCATGGCTGCCCTTCCAAATCTTCTCTTCTTCACATTTCCTTGTTGAGCTTTCCATTTGGATTGATGATTGAGCCAATTTCAATTTCTTCACTGACAGCATTAGATATAATTCTTTTGCAATCACTATTTTCTTTGCTTTCAGATGTGCTTTTTTGCCTTTACATCTTGACCTTTCCTATGCACTCTTTTCAAGTCACTGCTATTTTCTGCCCATATTATGGGCTCATCTGCATATCTCAAAGTGCTCCTGCTGCTTCTGCCAATTTTAAGTACTGTACTCCTTCATCCAAATCTAATCCAGCTCTATGACTACCAACCATATTTTAAAAGGCATTCCTTTTCTGGGATGTTGACTGTAAATGAATCCCTGTTCAGGCAAAACATTCAAACCAGCCGTTTTCTCTTTTGCTGTCAGCACTGTAGATTCTTTGTAACTAGGTAAGATCCATCATGGAAAAGTCACAGACTCATAGAATCATGAAGTTGGGAAAGGCCTATACGGCCGTCGAGTCCAACCTCCTGCTCAATGCAGGAATCCAGAGAAAAGGATATCTGCCAGAAAATTGTCTAAATTTCTCTTGAAGGCTTCCATAGTGTTGGTCATCGGTCAATGGAGCCAATGACCACCACCTTCTGTGGTGTACTGCTCTAACCATTAGGACGTTTTTCCTGATAGTCAACCAATATCTGGCTTCCTGTAACTTGAGCCCATTGTAATGTGTCCTGCACTCTGGGATGATCAAGAACAGATTTTGCCCCACCTCTGTACAACAACCTTTCAAGAATTTGAAATGTGTTATCATATCACCCCTCTGTCTTCTTTTCTCAAGGCTAATCAGGTCCAAAGTTTTCCATCTTTCCTCACAGGGCTCGGTTTCCAGCCCCCTGATCATCTTTGTTGCCCTCCTCTGAACTTGTTCCAATTTGTTGCCATCCTTCTTTAATTGCGGTGTCCTGAAATGGACACAGGACTCAAGATGAGGCCTAACCCCTGCTAAATAGAGGGGAACTAGTACCTCACAGGATTTTGAGACTATTCTTCTGTTAATGCAACTTAAAATAGCATTTGCCTTTTTTTGTAGCCACATCACACTGTTGGCTCATAGTCAGCTTGTGTTCTATAAGAACTCCAAGATCCTTCTTGCTCATAGTATTGCTGAGCCAGGTACCCCCCCCCATCTTGAAACTGTGTTTGGTTTCTTTTTCCGAGGTACAGTACTTTGCACTTCTCCCTGTTGAATTTCATTTTGTTGTTTTCAGCTCAGTGATCAATATCCAAAAATTTTGAATTTTGTTTCTGTCTTCTAGGGAATTCCACCCTATTTTGTGTCGTGCACAAATCTGATTAGCATCCCCTATATCCCCTGATCCAGGTCATTAATAAAAATATCAAATACCACTGGGTCCAAGACTGAGCCATGGAGCTTCCCACTTGTTACCTCCACCCAGTTTGAGAAAGAGCCATTGATCATCACCCTCTGAGTATGATTCTGTTTATCCATCTGACAGCAAACAAGAACTTAAACTACAGCCTAGAAAGAATGTAACTGAGCTTTTTTTATATACAAGATACATTTGTTTCTAATAAAAAGGAGAGGAAACATATGTATATAGTGATTAAATGATCTAGTACCTTTAAACCAACCTACTCCTTTTAAATAGAAAAGAAGTTCTTATTTGCTCAAAAATTTGCCAAAGGTATACATTAACCTATGTATGCCAGAATGTGATCAGAGTGTTTCACACGCTTACCACCCAGATATTTCCAGCCACAGGGGAAATGGAGTAGTCCTGGAAGGATCCAATCAATTAAGGATTAAATTCTGTTCCAGCAGCATACATACATATATATATATACACTAAGCTGTTTCACACTGCTGTAGACTACACAGATAAGCTGCCTACAATTAGAAACATGCTCAATGACATAGAACAGCATGGAATCACTACTGACATCTCTCAGGGAAATGCAAAGGGAAATGCAAAGACCTCTTTGAGAACTCACTCTAGGACATTGGGATATCTTCCTCCCAGTAGCTTTATACTTTTGCAAGCGAACACAAGCGCTACATTTAAAAACAATACATTCCAAGTAATAAGACTCCTTCTATCTTCAGAGTTAATATTAGAACTGAAATTTTATCCTTCTTTCAGCTCTGTTTAGGCTAGTACTACAGAACCTTGTAGTCAGGATTTGACCGTGTTTCCAAACTGCATCAATATGTCCTGAGCAATCTGTACTTGGTGATAAATAGCAAAATATGAAGCAAGGGAGTTTGAAGGGGCAAAGTTTGCATAAACTCCTGAACACATTTAACACTAGAGAAACTTCTTAAATTGGTAGCCCAACTCTCATTTAACTAACGGATAAGATCAGATGATTTGAATGGTTCAATAAAAGATCTGTCAACTGAACAGAAGGAACACGTAAAACATCAGAATTGTAAAACAAGATGGGAGAAAAACGATTGGGAAATGATGGAATTGCATTTGAAAGTCATTATCTTTTTGTTTCTAAGGACATGATGTAATTTACAGATATAAGCAAAATGTATTTAAAAGATCAAATCATGTATTGTGGTATTTATTTGCAAAGCACTCAAATTACTTAACAGGGCACTAAAATTATAAGCTTTATAAACAGTGAAACTGAATGTCTAGTATGATTAGCACGGTGGTAAGAACCAGCATTCAAACAGTTATAGTGCATGGTATCAGACAGCTGTTTCTCAACATGAAGCGTTAATAGGTCCTAAAGTTTCACAAATCTAAGGCAAACATTGCCTTTGCTACCCGGCGATGTACTATTTTTGAAATGGCAAAGCACAGCCCTGTAATTATTACTGGACTGGAACTCCCCATAATCTTCATTATTGGTTATGATGGTAAGAGCTGTTCAGGGGGGTGGGGTGGAGGTCCAACATCTGTCCACCTAACTCCAAACGACCTAAAAGTCATTCCGAGATTCAAAGAAACTGGGACGAAGAAGGGAATCCCACTGAAAGAACAGACAAAAAAAATAGCTAAACTGCATCTTGGCCCTATCATAGTATCAGCTGCAAGCAGAGCTGTTAGGTGTCTGTTGTTCCTGTTAGTAAAGGTCTTTATTCCCTATAAGAAATTCAGAGGTGGGGAAAAAGATACTACTGAGCATCTCACCTCATATCACCAAACTTCCGACTGATCACTGAACCCACGTTGGAAAGTGCAGCTGAAGTCTTCTGGCCCGCCTGTGACAGTGTTTCCTGTGTCTTCTTGTAACTAAACAAGAAAAACAAGGACTTTAATTGTGGAAGTTCTAGCGGGGGAATCTCATGTAGCAAAAAAGCAGAGCTGGAGTTTAGAAAACAAGTAAACTCAATAGGAAAAGGACAGGCAGTTTTTACCACAAGCTCAAAGCACATTTAGCAAGTACAGTAATTAGAAGAAATGCTCTATGATGAGTACTGACAACAGGAATCCATTATCGATGCAAGCCTCAACAATCAGACTTGTAAATTTAAGTTCACATTATTTTCTGATGACAAATCACAAAACAAAGCCCACTGGAAGGCATGATACAGAGGTGAGAAACGAAATATATATCCTAGGACAAACATATTTATTTTATCAATTAAGGGAGTCATAAATTTCCCAATATAATCACATAGTACAAGCACTAGCTGTTTGCTATTGTTATGACTTCACTAACTATGACTAGTGATTATCGGTGTCATAGCATGGAATCAGGTCTTATTTATCATTGCAAGTCTTTGTATCTATCCAGCTGCAAATTTGCATTCTTCCTCTATGTTATATAAATGACACATCTTCCTGTGTATCAGGAAATCATAGAGCACGTCAGAGAAAGAAATTTCTTAGCACTAATATAGTTCAGAACAGCATCAGAAATTCAGAAGGAACAGTTAATGTTGAAAGAGATTAATCCGAAAGAGAATAAGCATTGCTTTGCTCAAAAAGGAAAACATTTCCCATCAGTTACCATTAATCACTGTCATTTTTAAATAGCAATAGTAAAAATAACTTTTAAAGACTAAATTACTTATTCCTGGGACTTTGAAATCACTAATCTGAAAGCTTTGATGACAACCACATTTCAGTTCGAAATACAACATGTCAGAACACTCTGGGGAAATCATTTCCATTCCCAGAGTATCACTGCAACTAAAGAATAAACTGAAGATATAATTATAGTTTAGCATTGGAAAATCTCTTCCCCTTTTAAACATCCACCTGCCTATCAACACCCAACCCTTATCTAAGGCCACGGTTTTGCACAATTATGGAATATCCTCCACTTAACTCAGTGGGGCACACTCTGTATAGATGGTGTTTGGAATCTAGGAAAGAGCTGCTAGCCTATGAAATGTATAGCTGGCAGCAGGCGCATTCCAAATCTTAACAAAGCAAGATGCAAAAATAACATAGCCGCCTCCACTAACATCTGAGCTACTCTAGAACTTCTAGAGTTGCCTAGAGCGTCTAGGCAAGAAGAGAAGGAGACAACAGAGTACAAGATGGTTGGACAGTGTCATCAAAGCGACCAACATGAATTTGACCCAACTCCAGGAGGCAGTGGAAGACAGGAGGGCCTGACGTGCTCTGGTCCATGGGGTCACGAAGAGTCTGACACGACTTAACGACTAAACAACAACAAGAACTTCTTCCCTTCCTATGAAGTTCACTTGCAGCGAGAAGGTCAGCCATAACTAGCCATTGCGGTACCCAAAGTTTTGCCACCCTATAAGTTAAGCTTGGGGTACGTGAGACTGGCATACATACGGAGAGAGAAAGGCCTGAGCCTGGGCCTGAGCATCCAATACCCATATTGGTTATGCACGGAGGCATCTTGTTTTGTATCCTCCTCCCTGGGTAGAAGAGGCTGGAGACAGGACACATGGCTAAAGATGGGTGGGTTTGCACCCTTCCAGCCGGGAAGATTTGCACCCAGGGTCAAAACCCTAGCTGTCCTGCCTGAAGGCAGTCAGAAGGGCACAGAGAGGAGCCTGTGATTTATGAGGAAGTGAGCAACAGCACAAGAGGATCCTGTCCACCATTTTTGTAATTCCATGCAAGCCCTATCGTTTCTTTGCTTTGCAAGTGAACAGGGAAAGATCTACACTGGCACCACCCTAACTCAATGAATTCTTAGATTTATGGCCCATTTGCTCATTGAGGTAGCAATCCCAAAGTCTTGAACTCCAACACTTCACATATTGTTCACAACAGCACCCACCACACTACAGTGACCACCACATGCCTTATGTACACAAGTTTAGAAAATCTTGGGTGAAACTCTGTTGTGCAACGTCTTATGTGCAACAGTGAGAATATCAGCAACACCACCAAATTATTGCTAATTAAAGGCTTCCTTTTGCGATTTTGAGCTCTGTGTGACTTTGTTGCTTGCTAATTAAAGGCTTCCTTTTGCGATTTTTGGGCTCTGTGTGACTTTGTTGCATTGTATACAAGTTGCATGCATCCCTCCAAACTGCCTTTAATCAGTGATTTGCCTTTAATCAGAGGCAAGTTGCTGCTGATGGCATCAATGCTGAGTATCAGGGTGGATAAAAAATCAACGATGTTTTATAACCAAATTGATTTAATTTACAATTTAAATTTAAAAATCAATGTTTTATTTAAATTATCAAAAATCTGATTTTTAAGTTTTTTTAAAAATCAATTTGACTTAAATCAAAACCACCCAGTTGCATATGCAGAGCTGAGCAACCGGAGTTCAGCCATTCTCAAGTAAGGAAGATTACAAGACTCCTATCATCTCCTTTAGAACTGGTCTGCCCCATATTGTGTTACAGCAAGGATCCATGGGGGACTCATTATTAAACAAGCTTTTATGTAGCTGTACTTGATCCATTTGCCCTCAAATAAACAGTTGACAAACAACATCATAAATACTCATGATACACATGATACACATCCCACTATCCGCCCTCCAGAAGCGAGACATAATCACCAGAAATGATCCGGCAGTAGCAGCTTGTTTCCTGCCATTTCGAACAGGAGATGTGTTCCTAAGCCCCATGTTATATCCGCCCCCCCTCCCATGGGCACACACATATAAAACCAATCACATACACTCAGGATTACAGACAAAAATAAAAATAATGGAAGCATCTCAGCACTGCACAAAAGCTGTTTCTGCCTACATCATCTCAAAAACCAGCTCCTGCTTCTTGCTCTGCCCAAAGGCTCACAGATTTGCTTGCACTGTTTGCAGGAAGATACTGCTTATTCAGCAGAAGTTTCCTGGAAGCAGCTAAAAGGGAAGTGTGTGACACTCAATTCCATCCTGTCTTCCCACACAGAAGTCTTAACTGTTTAATGGTGACCTATAGAGAAGAGGCGTTTGGCCCACAAAGTGCCCCAAAATTCTCAAAATAGACCCTCAACTCACCAGCCATGCCTCACTGAATGTGGTGAAACACTGGACTTCAGTAAAAATTTGAGTAGGAAGAACAGGGTGACGTGTCGAGAGGTGTTCAAAGATTAGTGCTGGAAAAATTCACCTGCCACAGACTTCCTGCTATGTCTCTCTGGTAAAGTAACTTCAGTATGCAGAGTTCCTGGGTCTTCCAGGACAAACACAGACCCATTCCAAGGAAAGAATGATTATTTATTAACTCAACAGCATAGGCTTATGCTCAGTGGGATGGCTGTGGCAGCAATGAGATAACCATTAGCTTAAAAAAGTAAGGGAACAATTAATATTGAGTCAACAAAGATCAAGCTCTACTTGCAACTTGTACTTCCCCTGCTCCATCACAATACCAACGGAGATACAAGGAGCATTGAGAAGTGAGCCGTTAAAACACTAAAGCACTCTGTCGGGAGACAAGATTAGCCAAAGAAGCTGGTTCCCCAAACATACACAAACCCAGACCTCTTGGCTCAAGTACTGTTAATTCAAAAGATCAGCAGAGCAGACTGCCACGGTACAGCTCATCTATTTAACTGAAGAGGACCCTCAATATTCGGCTTTCAATCTCATTTATCTAGATTACTTCCAACCATAGGAAACATGCAGTTAAAGAACTGCAGAACTCGAGAGGTGGCAAGCATTCCGACACTGGAGGCATTCAAGAGAATCTTAGGCAACCACCTGGCAGATCTCCTTTGATTTGTATTCCCTGCCTTGAGCGGGAGGGTAGGCCCTTTCCAACTTCATGATTCTATGCAGAGCAATGACACAAGGTTGTTGCTTCCAACAATGATAAGCAGAGTTCTGCTTGCAGACCAGGGTTTCCCCATTCCCTTGTTCTTGCATCAGGAGCTGGTGCCTAGAAAGTGATTCCAAAGTTATCAGGGGACACTCTGAAATGGTAGTCCATGCAGAGGTGGGAGCTTTACTCATGGGAGGGAGGGGGAGAGAGAAGAAGAAAAGGAAAGGGAAAGGGAAAGGGAAAGGGAAAGGGAGAGAGAGAGAGAGAGAGAGAGAGAGAGAGAGAGAGAGAGAGAGAAAGAAAGAAAGAAAGTAAGAAAGAAAGAAAGAAAGAAAGCCTTTCCAACTGCTGCATTTCTGAAGGCATTACCCCCCACACACTTTCCAGCCTCACGGCCCTAAAACTGAAAACTTATTTTTTTCCAAAGCTATGACCACAGATTCTCCCCCAAAAAAGCCAATTTTTCACTGACTACTGCATCTGTGTTCCAACTGCTCTGCTACAGAGTCTAGACCATGAGGTACCTGCTGACCTCTACGTGTTTTATTCCTCCACAAGAGACCAAGGAGCAGATGAAGTCCCTTACTTCCAAAGCAGCAATGGACAGATCTTAATAATCAGTTCACCGTCAGCCTAAAGAAAAGGTTCCGCATCCCACACTTTCAGCTAGAATCATCCTTCCCCCCGCCCCACCCTTCCTGATTATTCAACAAACAAGCACCATTTACAGAACTAGGACCAAGCAGAATAGAGAGTGCAAGGGAGGAGCGATTAGTGGTGGAACACTATGGCTAAAAAGGATGCTTGTAGGTTATGCCAAAGGTTAAGACACTCACGCGTCTGATTGGGTTAATTTCTCATTCCAGTCCTCCAGTGTGTTGCTGGCCGAAACATATCTATAAATACAATGGAGATTAGAGAAGGGGCCAATATCACATTTATTTATGTGTAAGTCTTCACAGGCCACCTTTTAGGACATAGTTCTTCCACAGCACTACAAAGCAGTGATCACAAGACTAAAACTCTACCCAAAGACCCATCATTTGTCTGTAACTATTATCATTTTCCACAGCATTGGGATATTTAACCCCCATTCACAGTTTGAAATCACAAGAGCGTATAGGCATGCAAGCTACGAAACCCAATTCTTCCTGTCCAGATTTACAAAATCTTGTTCCTTCAGACTTCCAGCCATGTTTAGGTCTCATTCAAGGCACGTGTAAGAAAGTGGAGAGAAGACCAAGTGGTTCATCCTAGCCTGTAGTTGTATCCCTGGGTACAAATGATTTATTTCCTTATTTATCTGTCTTATTTATAGGCTGCCTTTCTCCTGATATGGCTCACAATCAGAACCCCAGTTGCTTTGGGTGTGGTGTTTTTTTTTTCTTCTTTTGTACGATTTTTGGATCACAAAGAGTGAACATTTTGAACAAGGTCAGGCTATGACAAACAAATATTAACCGAGCAGCAGCTTGTAATACACAACAGTAAATTACAAACTATGCCTTCAAATCAAGACAGGGAACAGTTTCAAAAGGCAGTGCACTGTCCATTTTAAGCCATATAGATCACCTTGGTAAATAATCTGAGGGCCTTAGAAGCCCCTTCCACCTCCATTATTCTATGATTTTACGATAAGCTTTAAAAAATTACTAGCCAAGTTTGTTCAGAAAAGGGACACTCAGCACTTCCTTCCGCCAGCTTTCTCACCCACCTGGACACAATTCCTTGTTGTCTACAGTGACCTGGCAGATGGTTAGTTACAAGACCAGCTTTTATTTTACGTGGTCCTCCACACATTTCCAAGAAGCATTCATACAGATACCGTCAAATACACCCACGCATGCAAACAGGCTATCCTACCTATATAGAACACCTACACCAGTCTGATCTGCACAAATCAAAAACATGTGAAGCAGATGCAAGTACCCTTTTATTTTGAAACTAGAAGGCAGACAAACTCAGAAGGCTGCAAATCCAGGCGTTCTTACAAAGCAGTCTTACTGAACTGAACAGTGCTCTGAGAGCATGCGTATTGCCTTCCTGCAGCTCTATTCGCTTGGAGATTTCCTGCTTTTGAACTCCACCACTCCATACATTGCAACAACCCACTGGTGCTACTGCCATCGCCACCTTCATTAAAAGTCAGGGAACTATATTTTTTTTCAGCAGCCAGCTCACATGATGGAACTTAACTCTTCTTTAGAAAGTACTGCCAGGAAATCATTAAAAGTCAGGGAACTATATTTTTTTCAGCATCCAGCTCACATGATGGAATGTAACTCTTCTTTAGAAAGTATTGCCAGGATGCTTACAAAAACCATAGAACATGCCATACAAACATTTCTAAAAGGCAGCAAGTATTTGCAATGAGAAAGCAGGAAGCCATTTGGGTTAAGCATCTATTCCTACCTGCTTCTCTGGAACAAAACAGAGTTTGTGTAATGCACCTGTCCTTACTGCTTATTAAAAAAGGCACTTGCGCCTATTAGAGATTGTAGAGTGTGGAATAGAATAACCTAAAGGATCAATATTTGGGTCAGAGTTTATGGGCGAGGGGAGGCTGGCCCATGAGATTATCTGCTTTGTGAACAAGACATACATCAAGCTACCAAAAGGGCATGCTGTAGCTGATGCCACCGAAATATTTTTAAAGGATTCTTTTTTTAAATGAAAAATCTGTGCCTTGTCAGGGTTTTGGAGAAATTAAACATTTTTCCCCTCCCTGCTCCCAGGTTTCAATGATCCCTATTGTCTTGGGAAAGTTATTTGGAGTCATGAAACAGCTGAGAGAACTCTTTAATGTCACAGAATCACCTCCACGAATCCTAATGGCCACTACTACAGACCCGCTCCCCATTTTGCAGCTCCCAAAGTCTTCCCCAGGATAAAAGGGATGCCCCAAACCTGGAAAATAGGTAACACTTCATTCCCCAAAAATGGCCATGGATGATAGTGTCATAAAGTTGTGCAACAGGATTCTGGCCAACTCAAAAGTAAAGCAAAAAGCAAAACACGCTGCTTATATATCAACCCACGGCTCTTGAAGCATTCTCTGGGTGGCTTAGAATGTAATTGTGCAAGTTACACATTGCTCTCCTCCCCCTGCTCCCCACCCCACCCCAGTAAGATGGGTAATTAATTTACCAACCTTGGAAGGAGGGAAGGCTGAGTCAAGGCCTGAGCCAGCTATGAGCCCCAGATAGAACTTAAGTCATGAGCAGAGTTTAGACTGCAGTACTGCAGTTTAACCCCTGCACTCTAACCATCTTCCAAAATGGTTTGGTAACTGATTGAAAATTTCCTTTGTCTGCCCAAGAGTACATCAGAAAAGCCAACAGGATGCTTGATCCTGAAAATGGTCAAGAGTTCAAAGGCAAAGAGTAAGAGTAAGCAAAACGCCTGAATGCAGCTCCTCCATATACCAAGCAGCCAGCCAGCTTCTTCTGTGACTAAAATGAAGGAGTATAACAAGCTGGAGAACACAGCCAGGAAGTGCTTGGAAGAGAAGAGAGGAACTCACAGGTCTGACTGCACCATTTTTTCATTCCATTCTCCCAATTTCTCAGAGGTTTTCACATAACTAGAAAAAAAACCTGGAGGTCAGTCCCCCCCAAAGGGGAGAGCATGATTCAAGAGGGAAAAGAACCAATGTCCAGGCTATAATTGATGAAACAGATGGCCAATCTCAGGAGGCCATATTTTAGGGGAACTTCTGGGTTTTTGGTATTTGTAAGTGTACTTAGGCACCTGTAGGCACAGCATGAAATTTAGGAGTCTAAAAAAAAATAATAATAAGCAAATGCATGCGTGGAGTGCAATGTAAACCCCAAATCTCATCTTAGGATTCATCTGTTCAAAGCCAGGCAAGTAACGTTGTGCTCAATGATCCAAGGAAACGCCCTTGGACATAAGGAGCGGCTGCCCAAGCCAGTAAAGGGGATCTGTCATCCATGAACAGGAAAACTGAAGCCTCAGGCAGGAAACAGTCAGGCCACATCCCTAGGAAAGAAAGTGAAGTGCCTCCAGATTACGGAATGTTAAGAGCATCACAGCAAGGTTCTGTGTAAGGTGGATATTGTCTTTTCTTTCTTTCCCTCTTGTTTAGCTCAAGCACATTTTCCCTTAAGCCAAGAGTGGGCAACTTTCAGAGATCCAGGCTTTGCAATATTCAAAGGGGCCCCCTTCCCCTTTCTTCTTTACATGCCCACTTGTGCCCAAAAGAGAACACCAGGGGGGAAGGGGATTCTGCCTGTTTTCAACCCTCTGGAGCTGCAGAATTGGGGGGGGGGAGTGTAAATTTCTTTCATAAGCAAAAAATAGTAGCTGCCATGCCCCCAGAGGATATGAAGGGCCTTCCAAGTAAGAAAAACAGAAATGCTGGGAGTTTGTACATGTGAAAAGTGTTGCAAGGGGGCCACACAAAGCCTACATGTTGATCATATACCTTAAGCCTGCCTTTATGCTTTAACAGAACTCCCATTTCTGCAGATTACACTCAGGTGGAGAAGCATCCTACGGAATATCTCCACACTGGAGAATACCTACGCATTGGAAACCTGGACATCATGCCAGCTTTTGGACAGGTTTTGCTTCAGACCATCCAAGGGGGTTAATCCCAGCTTTCTCTTCAACTCTCCACAGTGTCTCTCTTTGGCAGCTAATACTTGACGCAGGGTGCCAATTTCCTCTTCCACCTGCAAAAGAGGAATTGCGGTTAGAGGCCTGCACGGTACAAGATCAGGCAAAGAGCAGCTAAACATGGAAAGTGATCTGTAACCCAGAGAAGGGAAATTGTAGCAGAACTTGGTATTGTGCAGAACCAGATACTACAGCTTTGTACATAAGATTATGTGGATTTGCACTCAGAGTACATGATATTAAAGACAAGCTACAGAAAAAACATAACATTTAAATCAATGTCAGGCAACTCATGATCCTCCAGCTGCTGTTGTTCTACTCCTACCAATGGCAATGAGTTTTGGTTCAACATCTGGAGGGCCACAAGTGATCAAACCTTACATTAAAGAAAAACATTAGGTATAAAGCAAAGAAAATCCTACAGAAATGAGAAGGTTTTCATCCCTGGAAAAGAGCCCAAGGAACAACCAGCAATACTTTACAACCTGGTTGTTGTTATGTACCATCAAGGGTAGAGATGGGCACCAACCACAGTTTGGTGGTTTAGCCCAGTTCAGTTCCATGCCCACAGGTGTTCCGTGGGCACCTCACGCTCTCCTCTCCTGCCTCCTCGCATGCTCACCCATTCCCTCGGCGATGCGCGCTTCCTTCCCTGACTCCTCAGCACAACCGCCCGCCCACCAATCAGCTACAGTGCACACTTCCCTCCTCCGCCTCCTCCAGCAGCCACCCACTCAGACAAGGAAGCGGGACAGTGATGCCTGCAATGCTGTCTTTGAGCGGGCAGCTGCCAGAGGAGGCAAATGCACGCTGTTACAAGTGAGTGGGCAGTTGCACTGAAGAGGTGGGGAAGGAAGCTCACTTTGCCCAGGGAATGGGCGAGCATGCAGAGGGAGGAGAGGGAAGTGCACGGCACCCACAGAACACTTGTGTGGGCACGGTGCCGAACCGGGCCGAACTGCAGTTTGTGCCCATCTCTAATCAAAGGACGCCTGACTTATGACGACCCTGCAAACTAATGGTCACCAAAAGGTCCCATCATTTACAGTTTTGCTCAGGCTTTGCAAACCAAAGGGTGTGGCTTCTATTCCTGAACCAATCCATCTTATTCTCAGTCTTCCTGGTTTCCTACCGCCTTTAACTGTTCAAAGTACTATTGTCTTTTCTAGTAAGTTGTCTCTTCTCATGATCGGTTCAAATTACAACAGTCTCCATTTAGTCACTTGCACTTCTAGTGAGAGATCAGGCTTGATCTGTTTCAGAACCCTCTTGCTTGTCTTTCTGGTACACCATGGCGCCTATAAAGATCTGCCCTGCTGAAGCACATTTCAAATGCATTTTTAAAAAAATGTGTCGACTTTCTTCATTGTCTTTCACAGTCATACATAGTAATCAGACATACTGATGATCTGGATGGTCTTGTTCTTAGTTGGCAGCGATGAATCCTTACACATGTGGGTCGTTTCTAGTCCCCTCACAGCTGCCATTCCAAGTCTCAGTATTCTTCATACAGTATTTCTTTTTTTCACAATCTGCTTTTGCACTGATGATTGGTTAAGCTATACAAAATCTTTAAACTTTTTAATTTCTTCATTGCCAATATTAAGGTTATATAGGTCTTCCGCAGTCATGATACAACCGTAATTCTGCTTTTTCACTTTCTTCTTTAATTTACATCAGTGAATTTTTTTTCACAACAATGCTCTTTTCTGCCAATAATATGGCACAATATCTTAAATTACTGATGTCTCCTCTACCAGTTTTCCCTCCATCTTCATAGGTATGCAATCCAGTTTTCCATTCTGCATACAGACTGGACAGATGGGATATAATACAGCCTTGTCTAACACCTTTGCCAGCTAAAAACCAAGGCGACTTGTTCCAAAATACTGGTGGTCACTGTGAACACTTCTCATACATGCAGTGCCTCCCTGAGACTTGACATTAAGGAGGAAGATTGGTAAGAGGCTGCATTCATCAAACCCTTTTTCATTACCAAAGGACTCCAGGGTTCCTGGAGAAACATGCTTGAAAATCAGGGCTATAAACCTTTAAAGGTAAAGGTTCCCCTTGACATTTAGTCCAGTCGTGTCTGACTCTAGGGTGCGGTGCTCATCCCCGTCTCCAAGCCATAAAGCCAGTGTTTGTCTGAACACTATTTCCATGGTCACGTGGCCAACGCGACTAGACACGGAATGCCGTGGGCCTTCCCACTGTGGTGGTACCTATTCATCTACTCACATTTTTAAATGCTTTCGAACGGCTAGATTGGCAGGAGCTGTGACAAACGATGGGAGCTCACTCCGTCGCGATCTTATGACGAAGACCAGCCAAACAGCTTACTTGTGATCTTGCATATCTCATCCCAACTTCTTATTCAGTTATTTAAAAGAGAGGGACCATATTTATTGGCTTGAACTCCTCAAAGGAAATACAGGAAGAAAAGGAAAATGACAGGTACTCATTTTCCCAGTTTTGTGCTGTTTATTTAAGAACTCCTTTTTAACTTCACAGCACTGAAAATGTCTTCCAACAGAAGAGGACCTACAAGACTATATCAGAAATTTAAGGAATTGAGGACTTAGGACCGTAACACTTTTCTGACTTATTTAGACTTGAAGGGACCTAAATCATCTGGTCTCCTTGTGCCACATGGACCAGTTGAAGAGACCTGTTGGAACAGTCCTTTACCTTGGCCAGCTCAGACCTCAGCTCCTCTTCCTCTGCTTCAGTAAGCCCATTGTAGGCCGAGGCCCTTGAAGGAGGACTGGCAGTGGCAGAAGAGCTGGTATTATCCACAGGCACATCCGTCATTGTATCAGACAGCAGACCTTTGTTGGGAGAGTTAAGGTTGATATCTGTCAACGGCAAGAAGCAAAGCAGGGCAGAAGGGTAAGCAGCTAAAAAGGGCAAACACCGTTAGTCGGCTCAGAAGGTGCTGGGGAAAAGAGGAAGACCAGAGGCGGGTGCCGACTTGCATATCAAAAGCTACAGACAAGTTTCTGGCGACACGACACTCATAAACAGGCTCAAGGCAACAACTGTACAGCTACCAGATATCCCAAGAGACATGAGCAATTCCATGGCTGACTCATTCAGGAAGGGCCATCTGTTAAGCTGGTCAACCTCTTAAAACCATTTTTATTTCCACAGACAAGTAATGATAATCTTTGTCACATTGTCTGCATGTTAGCTGTTGCGTTTTAAAAACTGTTTCTGAACTGGTTTATGCTGTCTTTTTGCATTGCATTTCTTATCTTTCTAAACATTGCTTAGATATTGTATTGTATCAAATGGTACAGTATATAAAGAAATAAGTGAATAAGAAGAAAAGCAGGAAACTTGCTTAGATATTGTATTGTATCAAATGGTGTATAAAGACATAAGTGAATAAGAAGAAAAGCAGGAAATGCAGATCATATAGGAATGCAGCAATAAAATGCCAGAGCTAACCCTGGACATCCAATCATAAAGATTATTTCTGCATAAAATACATGCTCTCATGTTTACAATGCTTGTTTTCCATTGTACAAATAAAAACACAGGGCATCCAAGTTCCAGCACAAATGTTCAATAGCTCTTCTGCTTCCTACCCCACCTCAACACAAAACAGCTTCCCCACACTAAGACCACTATTTTACTTAATTTAAACTGCTGGTGTATCTCTGGCCTAATGTTTTGCAGGAGTGCAGGAAAGGACTGCCAGCTAAGCTACTCTGGCCCTAAAAAGGGTGGCATAAACAGTAGGCTTTCTGAATTCTTATGGTATGCGGGGCTTACTGAAAACAGCCACAGGCCTGAGCTGGCAGCCAGCAAATCTCTGATGATGTGGCTAGAATCTGAACATGGCAAGGAAGTTCAGATCTATGTTCACTCCAACCTTTACTTTAAAAGCCTGGCTAAACAGCTCACTGTCCACCTCGTTTTCTTAACAATTTTGTCATGAGGCTATAAATTGCTTCACTGACTGCAGGATGCCTGGGATGCAAATCGCAATAAATAAACAGACCTCATTATGGGAGCACTAAATTGTAAGCAGAGGACTGACACACAAAAGTGAAGCAGCCATTCGTTAATCTCTCCTTCGAGAGACCAGAAAAGTGAGTCTCTAGTTTGCGTGATCAACTTTGGTCCCTCCAGATGTTTTTGACTTCCTGCTCCTAGATGTGCCAGACAGGATGGCTTAATGGCAAGAGATTAGGGGAGCAGCAGACAAAAATATCTGTGGAGGTACAAAGGCTCCCGGCCCATTCGGGGAATGTTTCCAGTCCTGTAGCTCCAGGCTTACCAACCTGCTCTTTAGCAAAGTGCAGTGACTGCATTAGAAGATTACATAGCCTGTTTTACATCAGAATGAACCCACAGGACCTTCAGCATGTTTGTCATCTCAAAAGGCCACCTCTGGTCTGCAGAACTCTACACCCCTCGCCTTGCAAACAAGAAAGCAGCAGCAGATTTTGACATGCAGCACAAGAACACGCACAAGTTAGTGAACAAGCAAAACAACCCGAGACCCTCCACAGACATCTGCCACTTTCCGCAGCAGACAAGAGTTCACCTCAAAAAAGGAGTGTACAGTACACTAGAAATTAATGCAACTGTTAGAGAGAGGGAGAGAGAGAAGAAGGTCATGTAGTCTTTGCTGGGAAGCGCCAAAGGCAAAGCTCTTATGAAAAATTAAAGCAGAGGATTTAGGGCAGCCCAGCGCAGTAACACTTTGATCTGACAACTCAATGGTTATTATGGGATGCTGCTCAAATCATTGGGCCCTCCCACCAGATTCAAGCCAATGTAATCCCCCCGCCCCCGCCGCCTCCTCCTCTTTCCAAACCTCTCTGCATTCAGGTCTTTTGGGCTCACTAGCTAAAGAGCTGCATGCAACCGAAAGCTCAAGACCATCCCTCCAAAGGACCGGCCATCCTGGCGCTGTCCAGTCTGCAGCAAACAAAATTTCCCAACTCTTCCAAAGCCAGAGTCATGCCAGACCACTGCGTTATCTTCCTGATCTTTACCCTGCGAGTTTGCAGTTCCAAATCACTGCACACTCTCCCCCCCCCCAAAAAAAGTTCCTATTTCCCTCTCCCCTTCTGACAGCTTAACTCCTTTCAGAGGTCCTCTCACCACCTCTTTAAGTTCTACCCCAACTAAACCAGCACCCGGCCATGCTCCTCACCCAGCCTAGTGTGGTCGTTGGGAGGGCTAAGCTAAGACTCAAGAGAGCTGGGTTCCAATTCCCCACCACTGGGTGCTTTCAGGCCGCCTCTCCCAGCCTGCCCCTCCCTCCTCGCAGGGTGGTCGTGAGAATAAGTTGGGGAACAAGAACAGGGCAGGTCTCTCTTCAGCCCTGCCAGCCACAACCTTGGGCCTCTCCTCACCGCCGGGAAAACACTCCGGCAGGCAAACCTCTTCCCTGTGGAAATCTAGCCCGTCAGGGAGCAACCTAACCTTTCCCCTGAGAGGCTAGTTGTCTTCATGCAGGGACTTGTTTACTTGCTGCCCGACGGTCTCCCCTCCCCTCCCCGCCCCCGGTACAGACAGAAACAGCTGCCAGCCACAACCTTGGGCCTCTCCTCACCGCCGGGAAAACACTCCGGCAGGCAAACCTCTTCCCTGTGGAAATCTAGCCCGTCAGGGAGCAACCTAACCTTTCCCCTGAGAGGCTAGTTGTCTTCATGCAGGGACTTGTTTACTTGCTGCCCGACGGTCTCCCCTCCCCTCCCCGCCCCCGGTACAGACAGAAACAGGGCAGCGGGACGAGGTTTGAAATTAGGCCCCAGCTCGGAAAGGTTCTTCCCCGGCCTCCCTCCCCCGCGGCCTGGCCTGGCCTAGCCTGCCGTTCCCCGGGACTCTCCGTAGCTGAGGCCCAGGCTCTTTCCCCCGGCCTCCCGCTCCCGCTCGCCCCCCTACCTACCCTGGCTGGCGCTCTCCATCTCGCCCAGGCCCCGAGACCGTTGCGTGGCTACGGCGGGGGTTGGGAAGGGGCGGGGGGGAAAGAGAGAGGACGGAAGGACACGGGAACGGCGACAAGCAAGAGGAACTCCTAGCTCGGTGCCTCTGACGTCACCCGCGCCTCGCCCTCTTCCTCCTCCTCTTCCAAACACTCACGTCCTCTCGCTCTCTGTCTCTCTCTCTCTCCCGGAGGCGCAGGGCCTTGACGTCATCATCGCCAGTCGCCGATCCTAAAGAGACGCGAGCAGAGCCGTGTTCACTTCCGGTTCCCGATGGATCCTCCTTGTGTTTTTCGCGACCCGAAAGAAAATTGAGGGTCAAAGGCTGGGTTTGGTTGGGAGGCAACGCTTTGCAACGACGGGCCCTTCCTCTGAGTGAAAAATGAAACAACACAGTGGAAAGAGACTAAGATATATATATGGCTGATATTCATGTCCTTTTGAGTGGGTCTCCAACATAGAGAGAGAGACAGACAGACAGACATATATGTGTGTGTTGGAGTCCCATAGAGAGAGACAGACAGACAGACAGACCGACCGACATGCAGACATATATATGTGTGTTGGAGTCCCACTCAAGAGGACTGAATATCAGCCAAGGGTTCTTAAGCCATTACCCAGATGGCTAGTTCATGTAGTTTGCCACCA